GTATTTTGAAGTAGTTATCTTGAACTACGTTTTCATCGACACAGAACTAGTGTGCAAAAAAACCACTGGCCCGCTAGCCCTTGGCTAATAAATATCCAGTCGGGCCAGCAAATCTCCACAGTTACTAGCCCGACTGGCTAGTGAATTTTCATGGGATCATTTAGTAAATATAAGACCCTCTCCGCATTGTTAAAATACACTTTTAAATCATGCAAGATTATGGCCTGATAAAAAATGTTCATCATATTAGCAGCTTAATGATGAAACCCGTGCCATGCCGACATTATCTTATTCTCATCTATTTTTTGTAATCTTTTGCTTAGTTTCTACATTCAAATTTCGGGCGAGTGAATTTTTTTGTGGGCTAGTAACTTGCATGGCTCATAGGGGAATGATCAAAATCACCAACCCCAATGAGATCCGGTGTACATGGTCACACACGCCGAATTCCATCCTCTTACAAATAGCAGACAGCATCTCCTATTTGTTGTACTCAGACTTAATGGAATGCCACTCTCAGCAAACACCTGAGTTACTAGTTATTTCAGACACACACACGGCAGTTTTGGAAGAAGAGATCTTACAGGTCAAAGTGTTGATGCATGAAACTGCACAGGATCAAATGGTTGTATGAAACTGCACAGGATCAAAGTGTTGATGTATCAAACTGCACAGGATCAAATGGTAGAGGTATCAAACTGCACAGGATCCAATGGTAGAGGTATCAAACTGCACAGGATCCAATGGTAGAGGTATCAAACTGCACAGGATCCAATGGTAGAGGTATCAAACTGCACAGGATCCAATGGTAGAGGTATCAAACTGCACAGGATCCAATGGTAGAGGTATCAAACTGCACAGGATCAAATGGTAGAGGTATCAAACTGCACAGGATCCATTGGTAGAGGTATCAAACTGCACAGGATCCAATGGTAGAGGTATCAAACTGCACAGGATCAAATGGTAGAGGTATCAAATTGCACAGGATCAAATGGTAGAGGTATCAAACTGCACAGGATCAAATGGTAGAGGTATCAAACTGCACAGGATCAAATGGTAGAGGTATCAAACTGCACAGGATCCAATGGTAGAGGTATCAAACTGCACAGGATCAAATGGTAGAGGTATCAAACTGCACAGGATCAAATGGTAGAGGTATCAAATTGTGTGAAACGAGGCATACTGAAAGCTAATCTCCATCTCTATGTGAAAGTACATACACGATCTGTTGACATTTGAGCCATTACTGGCGACAAAGTCCATTGGTTACTGCGATTACCCGTCGCGCTTATAATCCGATTTCGGTTCCACACACGGTTACATAGCATGAAGCCCACTTTTGCAGTCTGATTGATTAGCCAACTCATGCACAAAGCTTAAACCAATCAAAAGTTCATTTTATTCATGAAATTTACCTATTTACATTTGTTAACTTGAAGGCATGTAGGCGGGACACCTGGATGTAAAGAAGCTAAATCGATAAAAAAAAAAAAACAAAAAGAAGTTGTGAGTACGTTTCCTGGGTTTATCGTTCCTGCTTTCTATTGTATGCCTATATGTCGTGTCTTGTGATTAAAAGAGAGCCAATACCATTGAACAGTTCGCGAAGTGCAGGCACAAGATGTACGTCAAACCCTGCTGCACACTGTGTTTGTAACAAAACATCTATCATCACTGCAGCGGATGTTTTAGTCACGTATTTATAACACATTCAAAAATCGATAAATGCACTTTTGTGAAGTGGCTTAGGGAAATCTTTTTTTCAAAGCTGATAGACAAAACTTGCTGTTATTTCGTAGCAGTTTCATATGTATAATAAGGGACCGTTCATAATTATGGCTGGGGGTGATGATGATTTTAAGGGGGTACCCATTTTGTTCTTGGATAGCTAGGGGTCATCAATTTTTTGTACCAATATACGGGGTCAGCAATTTTGTACATAAAATTATGTTTCAAATTATGCTTAGAAATTATGGAGGGGGCATTCACATTGTACTTGCTTCTCCATAAAAACATAAAAATTATCATCATCATCACACACACACAGACACAGACACACAGAGACACACACACCCACCCCCCATCCATAAATTATGAACGGTCCCTAAGGTAGGATAAGAGAGAAGAGATGGGTGAGTGTTGAGAAGTTAATGCGTTATTTGTTTCACTGACGAGTCTAGATGACCTTCACTTGGCCACGCTTGACGTTTGATTGTCTCAGTGATGTCTATTTACATTATTTACATCAAGCAACGAACTGTTACAAGCCGTGGCAAATGCAAATCGCTCTTACGACTGTATAGCTTAGAGGGACAAGGGCTGATGACCATTACGATGAGTTGTTTCTCTCGACCACGGATGAATATTGAATGAGTTTCTTTCGGGTGTTGACCTTTCCAACTGTGTATCAAGCCTACCCCGAAATGCAGCCGTGTCTACTTGGGTTTAGAGTACATTGTTCTAAGTTACGAAACCACGCTTCTTTTAACGTAGGAGTGAGTATGTTTTTACGCCACTTTTATTTTAACAATAATCCAGTAATATCATAGTACGGTGGGGTACACCAGAAATGGGCTTCATACATTGTAACCATGTGGGAATCGAACCCGTATCTTCGGCGTAACGAGTGAACGCGTTAACCACTAAGCTATTGGGAGAGATAATAATAATATTCACGTTATATTTGGTTACATATGTTTTGTTTTTCACTTATAATCTGTGAGGTACATACCTGACATGAGTGAGCTAAAGTTTAGAGTCACTTTGGCAATATCTCAGCCATATTGTGACTGAATCAAGGTATAGACTAATAAAAGTTAAAGGTAAATTATAAAACTTGTCAACGAAGGGCAGTAAAAGAAGTAGAATATCACAGATAAAAAATTAAAACTAGTAATACACATATTCTACTATTAAAAAGCGGAGAGTTTAAATTGAATTTAAATGTTTTGGGACTTACGTACCCTTTCAGGAGGACACTAATTTTACAGTACTTTAACCCCCTTGAGGATATAGCCAGTGACTAACAATCTCAGTTACAAATTTAAATTTCCAATCATAAAATATTTATCTAGTTACAAATCATTTAACAAATCTATTTCTTTTCAAAATACAATAACTAAATGAGAACTTATATAAATAAAAAGATTCTTCATAGTTCGTGATTTGAAATAGTTATCCCTTGTGATGGAATATTCAACAATGTTTTCAAATATATATCTATATCTCTCAAACAAAACGCTTTCTCAGTTAACATCTGTTGTACATATCCTAGCCTATGTCTGTCACTTGTGTACTTTGTTGTAAGATGATTTGTGTACTTATCTGGAGAGGGCTTTTCTAAGTTGGATAACTTGTGCCCAATCCTTTTCTTGAATGAATAAAATATGTTTAAAACAAACAAAACACAGTCAAGCAAGACATGCGCATATCTGACATGAAGTATTGTATGCTAAAATTTAGGACTGATGACGCCATCGTCGTCCAGAGTAGTAGTGAGGTGACGATACGCCAGCCTCCCCGGGGCAGCAGACTGTCAGAAGGACCAAGGGATTGCCGAGAAGACAACGCTGGGACAAAACGGACCTGGAGACAGAGGCTGCCAAGAATTTCATTATATATATCGACGGCCGTTCAAGAAAGAGGACCCAGGTTAGACTGGTCTTCAGCGACCCTTGCTTGTCGTAAGAGGCGACTAACGGGATCGGATAGTCAGGTTCCCTGACTTAGTTGACTCATGTCATCGTAATCCCTATTGCGTATCTTCGATGTTCATTGTGTTCATCACTGGATATTCTGGTCCAGACTGGATTATTATTTATTTATTACTATATCGCTGGAATATTGCTGAGTGCAGCGTTTAAAAACAACAACAACAACAAAAAACAAACAAACAAATCAACAAATAGAGAAAAAGTGCAGATGTAACAGCTCATATTTCTTCATATGGTGTTCATTTTCATTGAGTGTCTACTTTACTGTAAAAGTAAGCTAGAAATAGAATTGATGCCCTCAGACACGAGTGGTAATTGTGAAAGATACTTGTGATGTTCATATTGAATTAATGCCTGCAGGCAATGCAACTTGTCCTCAATATGTGAAGGGAAACATTTTAAGGAATGTTCATTCAGACATATGGAATGATAAAGGATTTGAGTGAACAGTGTTTCTCTTCTTTCCTGTCTGCCATTTATTGTATAAATTGTAAATAGGCACACATGTAATCTAGGAGAGGGCGATCTAAGTTGGGCCTATTCCTTTTGGTGGGAGAAAGTTATACTTCAACAAAACTAGAATGCAGTCCCATTTCTGATGCCATTCCAGCATTGGGGGAATATTGCTAAGACGGCGTAAAAATACTCACTCACTTACTCACTCAATAGACAATAGCGAAACGCCGAGTTTCAAAAACCTATCTGAGATAATGGTTTGGATGGGATGTCAATAATTGTGTGAAATATGTTTCCATAGCAATGCAAAAATGCTGAAATTGAACAAGACTGTTTTTTCGCTACAGATGAACGTGTGGTGGTGGCAAATGTCAAAAACACGTACACAGGGAAATCAATTTTCACCTTAAACAACACAGGACAAAAATATGGTAGAATTTAAAATATGGAATTGCGTGCGACCTCATAAATGTCAGCACCACATTCCTGCAGATATTTCAAATACGCCGTGCACATAGTCACAGATCAATGTATTCTCTGATAACAACACCCTGCATCCTTATACATAGATAAACAGGTTATATTTTGCATCTGGTGAGTAAATAACCTCGAGAAAGCACGACACGCTAAGTAAAAGTAATATCGATTCTAAATTGTCCTGGCAAATACGAATTATGGTCAACTGGATTTTGCTATTATTGTATATAAACAGTCACGTAGAATCACACTTACTCGCAGATCGATTATAATCGTATGTCCTAGTCGGCGTCTAACATGGTCAAATCAATAAATCAATGGTTCATGAGTTTCTTATCACTGAGGCGGTAGGCTGTTGGCTTTACCACTGGGTAGCGATGTACTAAAGTTCAGATTAACATGAGAGGGAAATCCGGAAGTGACAAGGCGTATGAGGTAAGTAAGCATCCCTAAAACCAATAGTGACGTCTTTGACGCCTTGGTTCATAGTTGGTATGAAAGGACTACATGTATGTATAGTTGATGATCCAGGTTAGGACTGGTCTTCAGCAACCCACGACTGTCGCGACCAACGGAATCGGGTGGTCAGGCTCGTTGACTTGTTTGATGAATATCATCGTATCCCAATTGCACAGGTCGATACTCATGCTGCCAATGACTGTTCCAGACTTTATTATTAAAAGGCCGCCGTCAAACAACGGGACAACTGCGGCATTAAACAACAAACAAACATGTATGGTAAAAGGGCTTTTGGGTGGAAAGTATATCCCATTAACTTAAGACCGAAGGATTCTATCAACTACAGATGTTGACAGAAATATTGGTGACATTTACCCTGCAAGAGCAGGATTTTGTACTCCTAATAACTGATCATATGAAAAAGCTAATCGGATATATTCGGTCTAGCATAATATCGGGTTTTATTTTTACTTTGAAGCCAAAAACAACATCAATACATGAAAGGATATAACGTCGATTATCATGACGTCATTACAATTCAAAGTGACGTCATGTCCGTCCGACAACTATATACACACTGTAACACAATGTACAGGTGTTATTACGTCATTTCTTTCTCAAAGTTATTAATGCATATATTTCTGTGAATTGTTCTGTGTGTAATCAGCTAGATAATGTGACCCACTATTTACTGCATTGCAAACAATATGTAAATCAACGTAGGGCAATGGTGGAATCTACAGCTCTCAATATTGATCTCTCATTGGCTGGACTGTTATGTCCACGGAAGGTTCGCAATCAAGTTCAGAATGTTATTCTTGCTTATATTAAAGCGTGAGGCAAGTTTGCTAGAAATTTAGCAACCCTTTATGATGGGCAAGGTGTAAATGGACCTAGTTGCCCGAACACCTATTAACTTTTAATGGTAAATCAATCAACTTTTCTTGAGTGAGTGAATGAGTGAGTGAGTGAGTGAGTGAGTGAGCAGCAATATTCCAGCTATATGGCGCCGGTCTGTAAATAATCGAGTCTGGACCAGACAATCGCGTAATCAACAGCATGAGCATCGATCTACGCAATTGGGAACCGATGACAATGTGTCAACCAAGCCAGCGAGCCTGACCACCCGATCCCGTTAGTCGCCTCTTGCGACAAGCATGGGTTACTGAAGACCAATTCTAACCCGGACCTTCACGGGTCCAACCTTTCTTGAACAGCGAATGCCATCTGACAATATCATGTTTATTTCATAAGTATAGATTATATCACACGGTGATATGAGATGAGGCATTAAAGTTCCACCCGTCGTTCATCACTTCTGTACAACAGATTTACATAAGATAAGATAAGATAAGATAAGATAAGATAAGATAAGATAAGATAAGATAAGATAAGATAAGATAAGATAAGATAAGATAAGATAAGATAAGATAAGATAAGATAAGATAAGATAATTCTTTATTGTCCCAAGGGAAATTTGTTTTGCATCATACGTTCTCCAGTTTTTCATTCATAAAGCAGCCATACATAACATTGCAATTGGTAATCATGAAATAATCAGGATATAAATACATCCATTTAGTACACAAACATAGATACTGAATAGAATTTGGACAATTAAAACACAGGTCATTCACAGAATTTGTTGTTAATGCATCTAATACTAGCTGGAACAAGTGAGTGGCGAACCCTGTTTGTTCTTAAAGTCGGCATACGCAGCCTGCGTCCAGAATGTAATTTTGAATATTCAGAAAAGAGTATGTGAGTAGGATCACTTCAAATTTTGTTTGCCCTTTTTGAAATTTGCTGCTCATAACAACTGCCGCTACTTTCGATAGGAAGCCCTAAAATTTTAGACACAGTGAGTACTATTTTTGAAAGTTTGTTTTTATTCTGAACAGACAGGTTTCCGAACCAACTCAAGAAATTAAAGTTTATGACACTTTGAATAAAGGTTTTGTAAAATAACATCATGATAGTTTGGTCGATTTTTAAATGTTTCAACTTCCACCAAAAAAGCAAGCGTTGCTGTCCTTTTTAATATATTTTCTCAGTGTTTTCAAACCAGGAGAGTTTCAAATCTAAGACAGTACCAAAATATTTGTATTCAGTTACTCTTTCGATTTCATTATCTTTAATAGTTACAGCATTTATTGTTGACTTAGCTTTTCTAAAATCTATGATCATTTCTTTTGGTTTTTTGCACATTCAAAAATAAAAAAAACTGATTTACACCATTCTACAAATTTTGAAATTTCAGCTCTGTAGCTAAGTTCTGATTCCCTAATAAGGCCTACCAATGCAGCATCACCCGCGAATTTGACTGTAAAACATGTTTCTGTGTTGGATACACAGTCATTGGTGTACAATATAAACAAAATTGGTGAAATAACGCAACCTTGTGGAGCGCCAGTTGATGCGTTTACAATTGATGATTTCACATTATTAACCTGTACAAATTGTTGTCTGGTAACTAGAAATGAATTAATCCATTATACAGGAAGACTACGTTTAGATCTGTCCCCGTTGATGCTTCACTGCTGAAAGAGTATGAGTGAGATGGTTTTATGCCGCATTTAGCAATATTCCCGCATTATCATGGTGAGGGACACTAGAAATGGGCTTCACACATTGTACCCATGTGGGGAATCCAGGCTTTCGGCGTGACGGGCTAACGCTTTAACCACTAGGCTACCCCACCGCCCCTACTGAAAGAGAATTAAAACATTCGTCATCACAGGCACAAGCTACGGAGGCAGATTGGAGGTCATGGTCATAGATACTGATGAGATGAGGATGTTGCTGTGTTTGATAGATTAATCAATAGAGACAAGCTTAAAGGTAGGACTCGGCCAGTAGTATACACAATGGGAGGACCTGGTCCGTTACCCCCATTGCGTATACTACTGGGCCACGAACTGTTATTTATGCAAACACTAAACATTTCTCACATTTCTGTTTATTTTTTTATATTTACTTCATGTCACATTTTAAACTTCCTTCTTTGAGTATGACTGGAGTATGACTTGACAATAACCGGATATGTTCTGTTGTGGCGAGCGGCTATGCTGTACAGTAAAACTTGGTTCATTAAAATTGAGATACTTCAATCAGCTGGTTCACCATTGATGTGGCAGATATAGTCCATATTATGTCTGTTTCCATCATCAAACATAGTATATAACATAGACAAAACAGAGATTCAAAACCCGGAGACAGCGGAGACAAATTTATAAGTGTCGTCATAGGACAATTAGACTGACTTAGTGAGTATGGTTTTACGCCTTTTTTAAGGAATATTCCAGCAATGTCATGGCGGGGGACACCAGAAATGGGCTTCACAAATTGTACCCAGGTGGGGAATCGAACCCAGGTCTTCGGCGTGACGAGCGAACGCTTTAACCACTAGGCTAACCCACCGTCCAGGGACAATTAGATAGCTATGACGCATATGACGACACTTAGTTTACATTGTACACCTGAAGAACCCTTCATTCTTTGACAAGAAGAAATATCTGGACTAATAAAAGAAATATGCCGAAAGGAGAAACTAATGTCCCGGTCACGGAAGGGTTTGACATACATACAAAAAGGTCGTACATACAAAATGGTATGAATTAATATGATCTACTTCAATGCAATCTAAATATTATTCTACAATCAGGTGCGCACTCGAGATATTTCACACAATGATTTTTTTCACAACATCGAATACGAACTTTGAAACTGTTCTTTGATAATGCCCTTGGTTTCGTCCATGAGTGCAGCATACTTAAAACATACTCATCTCCGTGACATTTCCGTTTACACGTTGGAAATAACCTACGCTTAGACAAAGACGGAAAAAGCATTCAATGAGTGTCTTATCGGCGATCTTCAAGGCAGCCTCTCCAACAAAAAGTACCCACACTTATGAGATCTGGTCTCCAGGCTCCGTCACATATAACTGTCTATCTAAAGATGAAGAGGGCATTATGATGGGCTATGCAGAAATACAGCAAGCTTTGAACTGACCCACACAAAGATATGGTACAAGTGTTATTCTCGTTTTGTGCTCGTTGTGTAAATCGATTTCAGGTTCATTCAAATAAGAAAACCATTATGCTTCTCAACATTTAAAGATTTTTTTTACAATCCCATCACTGTACGTGGGGTTAATGATGATAGCTTGGCATCATGCCATCTAATTGAGCAATAGTTATTTCATATCAACGAGGGTGATTTATAGTTTAAGACACCAGATGCATCTAGGTTTAAAATGCAGATTAGTTTGGTTCATCAGTATAACATTGTGAAGATGGTTGATGAGGTGTTAATGTAACTTAATAGACGTTGCCAAAGTCCCCACTATAAAGTACAAGCGAGAGGCTTCAGGTCAACAAGTACACGTTTCTTCGGAACGGGATCCACAATGTTACGTAGACAATTACTCAATGGAGAACCTGGATGATCAAAGTGAACTGTTATGAGCACAGCCAGTTAAAAGTTCTGGTACTCGATTACTGTAGTTGGAATTGTGTTTTGGTATAGTGTTAAGTACGTTTATACCGAACACGCTTATAGTTGAGGTGAGGTGAAATGGGGTTTAACGCCGTAATGACGTGCATGTGTGTGTATGTGTGGCTGCTTGTGCTAGCCCGGCCAGACTTAACCTGATTTATAGTGCTAGCTCATTGAGATACCATGCCACAGTAAGCATGAATACCCCACTCAGACACATTATACTGACTCCCAGCCGACCAGTTCTTGTACCCATTAATGCCGAGCGCCAGGCAGGGACCAACCAGTACCAAAGGTTTTGGTATGACGCGGCCTGGGATCGAACCCGCGACCTTCCGCCCTCTGGACGGACGCTCTAACCACTACACCACTCAGGGGATGGAACACGCTTATAACGAACTGACGGATAAAACGAATTGTACCCGACAACTTTCTATATACAGTAACGAGCAGAAAAAATGCGACTTTTCACAGAC